CCCCCCCCCGCCTCCATCTCTGCTGGGACTCTTATTCTGGTGGGGGGATTTGATGAATGCCTACCCCACCTTTGAACCACTTGGAGTCGTGTTTCACGGTACGCAGAGTGGGCCGGTCCCCCAGGCTGCGGTAGATGACAGCATCGATGGCTAGGAAGTCAGTAACGGTGGCCGTGAAGAGCATCCCTTCTGGATGGGTGTGAGTGGGGGGAAGCAGGTGAGAAATTAGATCATAGAGGCCAGGGGTGGGGTGGGTCAGTACTTGATCTTCCAAGACTGAGCCCAGAGCCCAGGGGAGCTCTGTCCCTAGGCGGAGCCCTGACCCCATCGAAGCCCGAACCCAGGCTGATCTCCAACCCCCCAGCTGAGCCCTGACCTTGGCTGAGTCCTGACTGTGGTTGAGATTCTACCCGCTTCCCAGCTGGACAGATGGTCTCCCAGCCGCCTTCATAATAACCCAATTCCAAGAGTGGAAAATGCCACACGGTGCTCAGGGCTGGGGTCCCAACAGACGGTCAGAGTTGGGGGACACTCACCAGAGAAGAGGGCAACGTTGGCATGTTTGGGATCGTATGGGCAACGGGCCATGCCGCTGATATTGTCCCCCAGGGGCTGCAGTGTGTCCATCTGCAGGGGGGGACAGGGCCTGAGTAACAGAGCTCCTGGCCACACCTGGCAGCCCCGTCCCCCGCCCCCGCCCCAGGGAATCGTGGCTCTACCCTGGATGCTGTGTGAGTTGCTCACTTAGCCTCTCTAGGGCTTAGTTTACTGATCTGTGAACGGGTCTAAGAGTCAATCCTAGTTAATCCTATAACTGGCTTGTAGCTTAAGTAGCTATGGCTTCCCTGATCTCCTTTGGAAGCCTCCTCTGGAGCTCCCGTTGAGGGGCCGAGGAGGGCTTATCCAGCAAGACTTCCCGAAGGAGGTGATGTGGCCTGAGGCTAGAGTAGGGCCAGTAGAGGGCAGGTGAGCAAAGACCAGGAGGTTGGGGCCTGGGGCAGGCAGGGCTTCGAAGGGCGGAGACTCACGCTGTAGTTGGCACACACGGGGTTGAAGGCATTGGAACCGCACACGAAGAGCGTGGATTCGTCGCGAAG